CTTAGCAACAAGTTTAGTGACTTTGAAGCTGTCCTGAACACAACTCACACCAACTCCGATGTCATTGGAGTGACAGAAACGTGGTTTTCTGCAGCAAAACCTGCTTCCGCCTGCCAGTTGTCATCTTTTAAAACTTTTCCACAACGATCGTGAAGAACGGCAGGGTGGGGGCGTTGCCTTGTACATCCGAGATGATATTAACTGCTACGAAGTCTTCAGAAAATGTTACTCCACCACACCTTGAGGCCCTCTGGGTGCGCCTCAAATCGTCTCGAACTGTTCATCTAGCTAATGATATATATGTTGGCGTTATATACTCACCTCCACGTTCACCTTCCAGAGGAGAGATGAGTGATTATATCATCGCCGCCGTCGACAACATCCGGCTTCAGTCAGACAGTGCTACAATAGTCATCATGGGCGACTTCAATGACCTTGCTACCGATGATATTGAGCACCAGACCCTGCTATCCCAGGTGGTTACTGAACCAACCCGGGGCACTGCTACTCTTGACAAGATCCTAACGGACATGGCTGATGTATACAATGATCCTGTCATCTCGGCACCGATATCGTCTAGCGACCATTGCGTAATCACATACCGGCCACTTTCAGAAGTCCCTCCTAGAAAGTCGTTCAACATATCATTTCGACCTTTCCGGGACTCATCTGTACGTGCGTTTGGCCAATGGATTACGCTGATGGATTGGTCTACGCTTCGAGAATCTGATGCTAACGCCCTGGCTGCCGATTTCACGAACTACTCAACATCAAGTACAGGCAATTTTTCGAAATTGTCACTGTGAAACGACGCCCTAACGACAAAGAATGGATTAATGATCGCATTCGCAGAGCCATCATTAAGCGTAATACTAGCTACAGAACCGGCTCAGCAACCTACAACGCGCAGAGAAACCTTGTCCAGAGAGAGAAAAAGATGCTAAGGACAATTTCTATGCTCGCAAGGTGCACCATCTGAAAAGAGCGGAGCCCGGTAAATGGCATCAACAAATCCGCAATTTAGCCGGCCTTTGCAAAAAATCACTTTGCCTCTCATCCGACGACAAATCTGATAACGAAATAGCTAATGATCTGAATACACATTTCGCTAACATCTGTTGTACATTGCCTCCACTCGACCCGTTTGCTATGCCGGCATACTTACCTGCAGCATCACCGCCTCCGACGATCCTGCGACATCAAGTATACCACAAAACTTAGCCGTATCAACACATCGAAGGCCTGTCATCCAGGCGAATGCCCTTCACGTCTTTTGAAGGAGTTTGCCTTTGAGTTGTCCGAGCCCTTAACCCACATTTTTAATTGCTGTCTAAGAGAGGGTTGTTTTCCTAATATTTGGAAAAATGCTTCTGTGTGTGCAGTACCGAAGGTTTCACCAGTGACTAGTTTTGACCAGCTACGTCCCATCTCGATTACCCCTATAATATCTCGCATCTTCGAAGGGTTCCTTGCTGATTGGATATTGTACGACATCAAGGACAAAATCGACCCCAAGCAGTTTGGTAACAGACGCGGTACTTCGATTGTGCATTGCCTCGTCAGCCTGTTGGACACCATCCATACAGGTATCGACACCTCTGGAACCTTCGCTAATCTGTGCACAATAGACTTCAGTAAGGCGTTTGACCACGTTAATCACGCGATTGTGATCCAGAAGCTGATTGGGTTAGGAGTAGATCGCTCTATCATCCCTACTTTATGTAGCTTTTTGTCTCAGAGAACGCAAACTGTCCGCTACCATGGAACAACCTCCCAGGAGAGATCCATCACTTGTGGAGTGCCACAAGGAACACGTTTGGGCCCGATACTTTTTTTGGTATTAGCTAACGATGCTGCACAGATGACTGAGAACCGCTGGAAGTACGTAGATGACCTAACTTTGTTGGAGGTCATTAACAAATTTCAACCGTCCCAATTACAGTCTCATGTCGATTGCCTTACTAGTTGGTGTCAGGAAAATGATGTTATCCCGAATGCCGCTAAGTGCAAGGCTATGCAAGTCTCCTTTCTCCGAACTCCACAGCATCCTCCTGATCTGCTCATCGACTCAGCTAGCCTGGAGATTGTTTCCGCGATTAAGTTGCTCGGGGTCATCATCCAATATGACCTCAAGTGGGATCAACAAGTCGATCGCATCATATCAAACGCGTCGAGGAGATTGTTCATCATCAATAAGTTAAAAAGGAATGGGGTCAACACTCAAGATTTGGTGACAATCTATCAGCTCTACATTCGACCGGTACTGGAGTTTGCGGCCCCTGTTTGGACTTCTGGTATAACGAAGGCTCAGGCTGAAACCATCGAACGTATTCAGAAGCGAGCCTTGAGGATAATCGTTTACCCAAATTTACTGCCATATAGTGAACTCCTCAAACTTTAAAACTAGAATCCCTTAGTAATAGGCGTCTCGAACTAGCAACTAAATTTGCCAAATCAGTTTTAACCTCTCCTGACCATCGCCATCTCTTGCCACAAAGTAGAAAATCAATCACAGGTCGCAATCTTCGGAACTCTACACACATGACATTACCTCGTATACGAACTCAAAGACGCAAGCTTTCTCCCATTCCTTACTTTATACAACTTCTGAATTCAACTTCTTAGTTATGCCCTCATATGTTCGCCATTGTGAATTTTTAAATGTTAATTAATTATTGCATAATGATTATCTCAAGCATTAGTATTAATGTGATCTCCCAAAGCTGTTTTAATTTGTTTTAACTTGAATTCCAAGTCCTTTCACTATAGCAATGATCACATTATATATAATTACTTATGGCAATTGTTTGATCTCCCAAAGCTGTTTTAATTTGTTTTAATTTGAATTCCAAGTCCTTTTACTATAGCAATGATCACATTATATATAATTATTCATGGTAATTGTATGATCTCCCAAAGCTGTTTTAATTTGTTTTTAATTTTCCAAGTCCTTTCACTATAGCAATGATCGTATTATATATAATTATTTATGGTAATAGTATGATCTCCCAAAGCTGTTTTAATTTGTTTCATTTGAATTCCAAGTCCTTTCACTGTAGCAATGATCGTATTATATATAATTATTTATGGTAATTGTTTATACTTATTTATTTACTTATTATTATGTACTTATATACTTATTATATTTTGTTTAACTTATTAATGATTGAATTCATCCATGTGTTTTTACCTTGTTATATTTTTGTTATGCATTTTATATTGTTAACTGACTTGTTTAGTCTTCGGACTTTTTAATCAGTACTTGAATAAAACCAAATATCTATCTATCTATCTAAATTAGCTACTCTTATCTTCCCCTAATTTTAAAAAGATTGTTGTGGGAAATACAATATGAAAACTGCTCTTTAAATGACCATGCACTCTTATTATCCATGTGTCTACTTAAAATCAAAAGAAGTATAGTTTCTCTCATTACAGCTCCAACATTTAAGATACCCTCGCTTCTTTTGGCCGTACTTTTACTTCTGTTTACTCTCAATTTAAAATAGACTTCTAAGATTTTCCTCTCCAATTACTACATGTCTTCTCTGTTTCTTTCCTTGTTCACCTTTGATTTTTTTTTAAGAAGAGCAAGGAGGCATTGCAATACTAAAAAACTGTTTAATAGAGTGTATATAGGCATGTTCTCTGATTCGACTTTTTAGCTTACCTTCACACGTAGTCCCAGTCCAGCCATCAGCACAGACACAAGTAAAGGTGTTGTCTCCATCAGTGCAAACTCCTTCATTCTTACAAGGAACGGCAAAACATTCGTCGGTATCTGTGCCAAATGAGTTCCAAAGATAAAGAATGCGATAAAAGTAAAAAGAAAATAATTCCCATTACTAGATGTTTTCTCAATTTCTTTCCATGTTCACCCTTGATCTCTTTTTTTAAGAGCAAGGAGTCATTGCAATACTAAAAAACTGTTAATAGAGTGTGTATAGGCATGTTATCGGATTCGACTTTTTAGCTTACCTTCACACGTAGTCCCAGTCCAGCCATCAGCACAGACACAAGTAAAGGTGTTGTCTCCATCAGTGCAAACTCCTTCATTCTTACAAGGAACGGCAAAACATTCGTCGGTATCTGTGCCAAATGAGTTCCAAAGATAAAGAATGCAATAAAAGTGAAAAGAAAATAATTCCTATTACTAGATGTTTTCTCCATTTCTTTCCATGTTCACCCTTGATCTCTTTTTTAAGAGCAAGGAGTCATTGCAATACTAAAAAACTGTTTAATAGAGTGTGTATAGGCATGTTATCGGATTCGACTTTTTGGCTTACCCTCACACGTAGTCCCAGTCCAGCCATCAGCACAGACACAAGTAAAGGTGTTGTCTCCATCAGTGCAAACTCCTTCATTCTTACAATGGAACGGCAAAACATTCGTCGGTATCTGTGCCAAATGAGTTCCAAAGATAAAGAATGCAATAAAAGTGAAAAGAAAATAATTCCTATTACTAGATGTTTTCTCCACTTCTTTCCATGTTCACCCTTGATCTCTTTTTTAAGAGCAAGGAGTCATTGCAATACTAAAAAACTGTTTAATAGAGTGTGTATAGGCATGTTATCGGATTCGACTTTTTGGCTTACCCTCACACGTAGTCCCAGTCCAGCCATCAGCACAGACACAAGTAAAGGTGTTGTCTCCATCAGTGCAAACTCCTTCATTCTTACAAGGAACGTCAAAACATTCGTCGGTATCTGTGCCAAATGAGTTCCAAAGATAAAGAATGTGATAAAAGTGAAAAGAAAAAAATTCCCATTTTGACAGATTTTTCATTATTTGGGGGAAAATAGGAAAATATAATATGATCTGATATTTTTAAATTCAAAGCAATGACTGTAGAGGAACGGTTTAGTTATGTATAAAACAACTAAAAAGTTATCAAATGAGATAAATTAACTGAAGGCCTCCTTTAAAATTCGTATTCATTTCAAAATCGTAGCATGAGATAGAAAATATTTTTTGGTTCAAATCAAATTTTGGAATAAACATCAATGTGCTCCTGCAAGGTAAAAAAGGAAAGGAAAACATAAAATCTTTCATTTGGGATGAGAAAAGAATGTCCTTTGCAAGGTCTAAGTTTGAAGACACCTAAAATAAAAAAGATCAATCTTAATGATTAGGATGAAATTAACTACTCTTATCTTCCCCTAATTTTAAAAAGATTGTTGTGGGAAATACAATATGAAAACTGCTCTTTAAATGACCATGCACTCTTATTATCCATGTGTCTACTTAAAATCAAAAGAAGTATAGTTTCTCTCATTACAGCTCCAACATTTAAGATACCCTCGCTTCTTTTGGCCGTACTTTTACTTCTGTTTACTCTCAATTTAAAATAGACTTCTAAGATTTTCCTCTCCAATTACTACATGTCTTCTCCGTTTCTTTCCTTGTTCACCTTTGATTTTTTTTTAAGAAGAGCAAGGAGGCATTGCAATACTAAAAAACTGTTTAATAGAGTGTATATAGGCATGTTCTCTGATTCGACTTTTTAGCTTACCTTCACACGTAGTCCCAGTCCAGCCATCAGCACAGACACAAGTAAAGGTGTTGTCTCCATCAGTGCAAACTCCTTCATTCTTACAAGGAACGGCAAAACATTCGTCGGTATCTGTGCCAAATGAGTTCCAAAGATAAAGAATGCGATAAAAGTAAAAAGAAAATAATTCCCATTACTAGATGTTTTCTCAATTCTTTCCATGTTCACCCTTGATCTCTTTTTTAAGAGCAAGGAGTCATTGCAATACTAAAAAACTGTTTAATAGAGTGTGTATAGGCATGTTATCGGATTCGACTTTTTAGCTTACCCTCACACGTAGTCCCCAGTCCAGCCATCAGCACAGACACAAGTAAAGGTGTTGTCTCCATCAGTGCAAACTCCTTCATTCTTACAAGGAACGGCAAAACATTCGTCGGTATCTGTGCCAAATGAGTTCCAAAGATAAAGAATGTGATAAAAGTGAAAAGAAAATAATTCCCATTTTGACAGATTTTTCATTATTTGGGGGAAAATAGGAAAATATAATATGATCTCATATTTTTAAATTCAAAGCAATGACTGTAGAGGAACAGTTTAGTTCATGTATAAAACAACTAAAAAGTTATCAAATGAGATAAATTAACTGAAGGCCTCCTTTAAAATTCGTATTCATTTCAAAATCGTAGCATGAGATAGAAAATATTTTTTGGTTCAAATCAAATTTTGGAATAAACATCAATGTGCTCCTGCAAGGTAAAAAAGGAAAGGAAAACATAACATCTTTCATTTGGGATGAGAAAAGAATGTCCTTTGCAAGGTCTAAGTTTAAAGACACCTAAAATAAAAAAGATCAATCTTGATGATTAGGATGAAATTAGCTACTCTTATCTTCCCCTAATTTTAAAAAGATTGTTGTGGGAAATACAACATGAAAACTGCTCTTTAAATGACCATGCACTCTTATTATCCATGTGTCTACTTAAAATCAAAAGAAGTATAGTTTCTCTCATTACAGCTCCAACATTTAAGATACCCTCGCTTCTTTTGGCCGTACTTTTACTTCTGTTTACTCTCAATTTAAAATAGACTTCTAAGATTTTCCTCTCCAATTACTACATGTCTTCTCTGTTTCTTTCCTTGTTCACCTTTGATTTTTTTTAAGAAGAGCAAGGAGGCATTGCAATACTAAAAAACTGTTTAATAGAGTGTATATAGGCATGTTCTCTGATTCGAATTTTTAGCTTACCTTCACACGTAGTCCCAGTCCAGCCATCAGCACAGACACAAGTAAAGGTGTTGTCTCCATCAGTGCAAACTCCTTCATTCTTACAAGGAACGGCAAAACATTCGTCGGTATCTGTGCCAAATGAGTTCCAAAGATAAAGAATGCGATAAAAGTAAAAAGAAAATAATTCCATTACTAGATGTTTTCTCAATTTCTTTCCATGTTCACCCTTGATCTCTTTTTTTAAGAGCAAGGAGTCATTGCAATACTAAAAAACTGTTTAATAGAGTGTGTATAGGCATGTTATCGGATTCGACTTTTTGGCTTACCCTCACACGTAGTCCCAGTCCAGCCATCAGCACAGACACAAGTAAAGGTGTTGTCTCCATCAGTGCAAACTCCTTCATTCTTACAAGGAACGTCAAAACATTCGTCGGTATCTGTGCCAAATGAGTTCCAAAGATAAAGAATGTGATAAAAGTGAAAAGAAAATAATTCCCATTTTGACAGATTTTTCATTATTTGGGGGAAAATAGGAAAATATAATATGATCTGATATTTTTAAATTCAAAGCAATGACTGTAGAGGAACGGTTTAGTTTATGTATAAAACAACTAAAAAGTTATCAAATGAGATAAATTAACTGAAGGCCTCCTTTAAAATTCGTAGTCATTTCAAAATCGTAGCATGAGATAGAAAATATTTTTTGGTTCAAATCAAATTTTGGAATAAACATCAATGTGCTCCTGCAAGGTAAAAAAGGAAAGGAAAACATAACATCTTTCATTTGGGATGAGAAAAGAATGTCCTTTGCAAGGTCTAAGTTTGAAGACACCTAAAATAAAAAAGATCAATCTTAATGATTAGGATGAAATTAACTACTCTTATCTTCCCCTAATTTTAAAAAGATTGTTGTGGGAAATACAATATGAAAACTGCTCTTTAAATGACCATGCACTCTTATTATCCATGTGTCTACTTAAAATCAAAAGAAGTATAGTTTCTCTCATTACAGCTCCAACATTTAAGATACCCTCGCTTCTTTTGGCCGTACTTTTACTTCTGTTTACTCTCAATTTAAAATAGACTTCTAAGATTTTCCTCTCCAATTACTACATGTCTTCTCCGTTTCTTTCCTTGTTCACCTTTGATTTCTTTTTAAGAAGAGCAAGGAGGCATTGCAATACTAAAAACTGTTTAATAGAGTGTATATAGGCATGTTCTCTGGTTCGACTTTTTAGCTTACCTTCACACGTAGTCCCAGTCCAGCCATCAGCACAGACACAAGTAAAGGTGTTGTCTCCATCAGTGCAAACTCCTTCATTCTTACAAGGAACGGCAAAACATTCGTCGGTATCTGTGCCAAATGAGTTCCAAAGATAAAGAATGCAATAAAAGTGAAAAGAAAATAATTCCTATTACTAGATGTTTTCTCCATTTCTTTCCATGTTCACCCTTGATCTCTTTTTTTAAGAGCAAGGAGTCATTGCAATACTAAAAAACTGTTAATAGAGTGTGTATAGGCATGTTATCGGATTCGACTTTTTGGCTTACCCTCACACGTAGTCCCAGTCCAGCCATCAGCACAGACACAAGTAAAGGTGTTGTCTCCATCAGTGCAAACTCCTTCATTCTTACAAGGAACGTCAAAACATTCGTCGGTATCTGTGCCAAATGAGTTCCAAGATAAAGAATGTGATAAAAGTGAAAAGAAAAAAATTCCCATTTTGACAGATTTTTCATTATTTGGGGGAAAATAGGAAAATATAATATGATCTGATATTTTTAAATTCAAAGCAATGACTGTAGAGGAACGGTTAGTTTATGTATAAAACAACTAAAAAGTTATCAAATGAGATAAATTAACTGAAGGCCTCCTTTAAAATTCGTATTCATTTCAAAATCGTAGCATGAGATAGAAAATATTTTTTGGTTCAAATCAAATTTTGGAATAAACATCAGTGTGCTCCTGCAAGGTAAAAAAGGAAAGGAAAACATAACATCTTTCATTTGGGATGAGAAAAGAATGTCCTTTGCAAGGTCTAAGTTTGAAGACACCTAAAATAAAAAAGATCAATCTTAATGATTAGGATGAAATTAACTACTTATCTTCCCCTAATTTTAAAAGATTGTTGTGGGAAATACAATATGAAAACTGCTCTTTAAATGACCATGCACTCTTATTATCCATGTGTCTACTTAAAATCAAAAGAAGTATAGTTTCTCTCATTACAGCTCCAACATTTAAGATACCCTCGCTTCTTTTGGCCGTACTTTTACTTCTGTTTACTCTCAATTTAAAATAGACTTCTAAGATTTTCCTCTCCAATTACTACATGTCTTCTCCGTTTCTTTCCTTGTTCACCTTTGATTTTTTTTAAGAAGAGCAAGGAGGCATTGCAATACTTAAAAACTGTTTAATAGAGTGTATATAGGCATGTTCTCTGGTTCGACTTTTTAGCTTACCTTCACACGTAGTCCCAGTCCAGCCATCAGCACAGACACAAGTAAAGGTGTTGTCTCCATCAGTGCAAACTCCTTCATTCTTACAAGGAACGGCAAAACATTCGTCGGTATCTGTGCCAAATGAGTTCCAAAGATAAAGAATGCAATAAAAGTGAAAAGAAAATAATTCCTATTACTAGATGTTTTCTCCATTTCTTTCCATGTTCACCCTTGATCTCTTTTTTTAAGAGCAAGGAGTCATTGCAATACTAAAAAACTGTTAATAGAGTGTGTATAGGCATGTTATCGGATTCGACTTTTTGGCTTACCCTCACACGTAGTCCCAGTCCAGCCATCAGCACAGACACAAGTAAAGGTGTTGTCTCCATCAGTGCAAACTCCTTCATTCTTACAAGGAACGTCAAAACATTCGTCGGTATCTGTGCCAAATGAGTTCCAAAGATAAAGAATGTGATAAAAGTGAAAAGAAAAAAATTCCCATTTTGACAGATTTTTCATATTTGGGGGAAAATAGGAAAATATAATATGATCTGATATTTTAAATTCAAAGCAATGACTGTAGAGGAACGGTTTAGTTTATGTATAAAACAACTAAAAAGTTATCAAATGAGATAAATTAACTGAAGGCCTCCTTTAAAATTCGTATTCATTTCAAAATCGTAGCATGAGATAGAAAATATTTTTGGTTCAAATCAAATTTTGGAATAAACATCAGTGTGCTCCTGCAAGGTAAAAAAGGAAAGGAAAACATAACATCTTTCATTTGGGATGAGAAAAGAATGTCCTTTGCAAGGTCTAAGTTTGAAGACACCTAAAATAAAAAAGATCAATCTTAATGATTAGGATGAAATTAACTACTCTTATCTTCCCCTAATTTTAAAAGATTGTTGTGGGAAATACAATATGAAAACTGCTCTTTAAATGACCATGCACTCTTATTATCCATGTGTCTACTTAAAATCAAAAGAAGTATAGTTTCTCTCATTACAGCTCCAACATTTAAGATACCCTCGCTTCTTTTGGCCGTACTTTTACTTCTGTTTACTCTCAATTTAAAATAGACTTCTAAGATTTTCCTCTCCAATTACTACATGTCTTCTCCGTTTCTTTCCTTGTTCACCTTTGATTTTTTTTAAGAAGAGCAAGGAGGCATTGCAATACTTAAAAACTGTTTAATAGAGTGTATATAGGCATGTTCTCTGGTTCGACTTTTAGCTTACCTTCACACGTAGTCCCAGTCCAGCCATCAGCACAGACACAAGTAAAGGTGTTGTCTCCATCAGTGCAAACTCCTTCATTCTTACAAGGAACGGCAAAACATTCGTCGGTATCTGTGCCAAATGAGTTCCAAAGATAAAGAATGCAATAAAAGTGAAAAGAAAATAATTCCTATTACTAGATGTTTTCTCCATTTCTTTCCATGTTCACCCTTGATCTCTTTTTTAAGAGCAAGGAGTCATTGCAATACTAAAAAACTGTTTAATAGAGTGTGTATAGGCATGTTATCGGATTCGACTTTTTGGCTTACCCTCACACGTAGTCCCAGTCCAGCCATCAGCACAGACACAAGTAAAGGTGTGTGTCTCCATCAGTGCAAACTCCTTCATTCTTACAAGGAACGTCAAAACATTCGTCGGTATCTGTGCCAAATGAGTTCCAAAGATAAAGAATGTGATAAAAGTGAAAAGAAAAAAATTCCCATTTTGACAGATTTTTCATTATTTGGGGGAAAATAGGAAAATATAATATGATCTGATATTTTTAAATTCAAAGCAATGACTGTAGAGGAACGGTTTAGTTATGTATAAAACAACTAAAAAGTTATCAAATGAGATAAATTAACTGAAGGCCTCCTTTAAAATTCGTATTCATTTCAAAATCGTAGCATGAGATAGAAAATATTTTTTGGTTCAAATCAAATTTGGAATAAACATCAATGTGCTCCTGCAAGGTAAAAAAGGAAAGGAAAACATAACATCTTTCATTTGGGATGAGAAAAGAATGTCCTTTGCAAGGTCTAAGTTTGAAGACACCTAAAATAAAAAAGATCAATCTTAATGATTAGGATGAAATTAACTACTCTTATCTTCCCCTAATTTTAAAAAGATTGTTGTGGGAAATACAATATGAAAACTGCTCTTTAAATGACCATGCACTCTTATTATCCATGTGTCTACTTAAAATCAAAAGAAGTATAGTTTCTCTCATTACAGCTCCAACATTTAAGATACCCTCGCTTCTTTTGGCCGTACTTTTACTTCTGTTTACTCTCAATTTAAAATAGACTTCTAAGATTTTCCTCTCCAATTACTACATGTCTTCTCCGTTTCTTTCCTTGTTCACCTTTGATTTCTTTTTAAGAAGAGCAAGGAGGCATTGCAATACTTAAAAACTGTTTAATAGAGTGTATATAGGCATGTTCTCTGGTTCGACTTTTTAGCTTACCTTCACACGTAGTCCCAGTCCAGCCATCAGCACAGACACAAGTAAAGGTGTTGTCTCCATCAGTGCAAACTCCTTCATTCTTACAAGGAACGGCAAAACATTCGTCGGTATCTGTGCCAAATGAGTTCCAAAGATAAAGAATGCAATAAAAGTGAAAAAGAAAATAATTCCTATTACTAGATGTTTTCTCCATTTCTTTCCATGTTCACCCTTGATCTCTTTTTTTAAGAGCAAGGAGTCATTGCAATACTAAAAAAACTGTTTAATAGAGTGTGTATAGGCATGTTATCGGATTCGACTTTTTGGCTTACCCTCACACGTAGTCCCAGTCCAGCCATCAGCACAGACACAAGTAAAGGTGTTGTCTCATCAGTGCAAACTCCTTCATTCTTACAAGGAACGTCAAAACATTCGTCGGTATCTGTGCCAAATGAGTTCCAAAGATAAAGAATGTGATAAAAGTGAAAAGAAAATAATTCCCATTTTGACAGATTTTTCATTATTGGGGGAAAATAGGAAAATATAATATGATCTGATATTTTTAAATTCAAAGCAATGACTGTAGAGGAACGGTTTAGTTTATGTATAAAACAACTAAAAAGTTATCAAATGAGATAAATTAACTGAAGGCCTCCTTTAAAATTCGTAGTCATTTCAAAATCGTAGCATGAGATAGAAAATATTTTTTGGTTCAAATCAAATTTTGGAATAAACATCAATGTGCTCCTGCAAGGTAAAAAAGGAAAGGAAAACATAACATCTTTCATTTGGGATGAGAAAAGAATGTCCTTTGCAAGGTCTAAGTTTGAAGACACCTAAAATAAAAAAGATCAATCTTAATGATTAGGATGAAATTAACTACTCTTATCTTCCCCTAATTTTAAAAAGATTGTTGTGGGAAATACAATATGAAAACTGCTCTTTAAATGACCATGCACTCTTATTATCCATGTGTCTACTTAAAATCAAAAGAAGTATAGTTTCTCTCATTACAGCTCCAACATTTAAGATACCCTCGCTTCTTTTGGCCGTACTTTTACTTCTGTTTACTCTCAATTTAAAATAGACTTCTAAGATTTTCCTCTCCAATTACTACATGTCTTCTCCGTTTCTTTCCTTGTTCACCTTTGATTTTTTTTAAGAAGAGCAAGGAGGCATTGCAATACTTAAAAACTGTTTAATAGAGTGTATATAGGCATGTTCTCTGGTTCGACTTTTTAGCTTACCTTCACACGTAGTCCCAGTCCAGCCATCAGCACAGACACAAGTAAAGGTGTTGTCTCCATCAGTGCAAACTCCTTCATTCTTACAAGGAACGGCAAAACATTCGTCGGTATCTGTGCCAAATGAGTTCCAAAGATAAAGAATGCAATAAAAGTGAAAAGAAAATAATTCCTATTACTAGATGTTTTCTCCATTTCTTTCCATGTTCACCCTTGATCTCTTTTTTAAGAGCAAGGAGTCATTGCAATACTAAAAAACTGTTAATAGAGTGTGTATAGGCATGTTATCGGATTCGACTTTTTGGCTTACCCTCACACGTAGTCCCAGTCCAGCCATCAGCACAGACACAAGTAAAGGTGTTGTCTCCATCAGTGCAAACTCCTTCATTCTTACAAGGAACGTCAAAACATTCGTCGGTATCTGTGCCAAATGAGTTCCAAAGATAAAGAATGTGATAAAAGTGAAAAGAAAATAATTCCCATTTTGACAGATTTTTCATTATTTGGGGGAAAATAGGAAAATATAATATGATCTGATATTTTTAAATTCAAAGCAATGACTGTAGAGGAACGGTTTAGTTCATGTATAAAACAACTAAAAAGTTATCAAATGAGATAAATTAACTGAAGGCCTCCTTTAAAATTCGTATTCATTTCAAAATCGTAGCATGAGATAGAAAATATTTTTTGGTTCAAATCAAATTTTGGAATAAACATCAATGTGCTCCTGCAAGGTAAAAAAGGAAAGGAAAACATAACATCTTTCATTTGGGATGAGAAAGAATGTCCTTTGCAAGGTCTAAGTTTGAAGACACCTAAAATAAAAAAGATCAATCTTAATGATTAGGATGAAATTAACTACTCTTATCTTCCCCTAATTTTAAAAAGATTGTTGTGGGAAATACAATATGAAAACTGCTCTTTAAATGACCATGCACTCTTATTATCCATGTGTCTACTTAAAATCAAAAGAAGTATAGTTTCTCTCATTACAGCTCCAACATTTAAGATACCCTCGCTTCTTTTGGCCGTACTTTTACTTCTGTTTACCCTCAATTTAAAATAGACTTCTAAGATTTTCCTCTCCAATTACTACATGTCTTCTCCGTTTCTTTCCTTGTTCACCTTTGATTTCTTTTAAGAAGAGCAAGGAGGCATTGCAATACTTAAAAACTGTTTAATAGAGTGTATATAGGCATGTTCTCTGTTCGACTTTTTAGCTTACATTCACACGTAGTCCCAGTCCAGCCATCAGCACAGACACAAGTAAAGGTGTTGTCTCCATCAGTGCAAACTCCTTCATTCTTACAAGGAACGGCAAAACATTCGTCGGTATCTGTGCCAAATGAGTTCCAAAGATAAAGAATGCAATAAAAGTGAAAGAAAATAATTCCTATTACTAGATGTTTTCTCCATTTCTTTCCATGTTCACCCTGATCTCTTTTTTTAAGAGCAAGGAGTCATTGCAATACTAAAAAACTGTTTATAGAGTGTGTATAGGCATGTTATCGGATTCGACTTTTTGGCTTACCCTCACACGTAGTCCCAGTCCAGCCATCAGCACAGACACAAGTAAAGGTGTTGTCTCCATCAGTGCAAACTCCTTCATTCTTACAAGGAACGTCAAAACATTCGTCGGTATCTGTGCCAAATGAGTTCCAAAGATAAAGAATGTGATAAAAGTGAAAAGAAAAAAATTCCCATTTTGACAGATTTTTCATTATTTGGGGGAAAATAGGAAAATATAATATGATCTGATATTTTTAAATTCAAAGCAATGACTGTAGAGGAACGGTTTAGTTCATGTAAAAACAACTAAAAAGTTATCAAATGAGATAAATTAACTGAAGGCCTCCTTTAAAATTCGTATTCATTTCAAAATCGTAGCATGAGATAGAAAATATTTTTTGGTTCAAATCAAATTTGGAATAAACATCAATGTGCTCCTGCAAGGTAAAAAAGGAAAGGAAAACATAACATCTTTCATTTGGGATGAGAAAAGAATGTCCTTTGCAAGGTCTAAGTTTGAAGACACCTAAAATAAAAAAGATCAATCTTAATGATTAGGATGAAATTAACTACTCTTATCTTCCCCTAATTTTAAAAAGATTGTTGTGGGAAATACAATATGAAAACTGCTCTTTAAATGACCATGCACTCTTATTATCCATGTGTCTACTTAAAATCAAAAGAAGTATAGTTTCTCTCATTACAGCTCCAACATTTAAGATACCCTCGCTTCTTTTGGCCGTACTTTTACTTCTGTTTACTCTCAATTTAAAATAGACTTCTAAGATTTTCCTCTCCAATTACTACATGTCTTCTCCGTTTCTTTCCTTGTTCACCTTTGATTTTTTTTTAAGAAGAGCAAGGAGGCATTGCAATACTTAAAAACTGTTTAATAGAGTGTATATAGGCATGTTTCTGATTCGACTTTTTAGCTTACCTTCACACGTAGTCCCAGTCCAGCCATCAGCACAGACACAAGTAAAGGGTTGTCTCCATCAGTGCAAACTCCTTCATTCTTACAAGGAACGGCAAAACATTCGTCGGTATCTGTGCCAAATGAGTTCCAAAGATAAAGAATGCAATAAAAGTGAAAAGAAAATAATTCCTATTACTAGATGTTTTCTCCATTTCTTTCCATGTTCACCCTTGATCTCTTTTTTAAGAGCAAGGAGTCATTGCAATACTAAAAAACTGTTAATAGAGTGTGTATAGGCATGTTATCGGATTCGACTTTTTGGCTTACCCTCACACGTAGTCCCAGTCCAGCCATCAGCACAGACACAAGTAAAGGTGTTGTCTCCATCAGTGCAAACTCCTTCATTCTTACAAGGAACGTCAAAACATTCGTCGGTATCTGTGCCAAATGAGTTCCAAAGATAAAGAATGTGATAAAAGTGAAAAGAAAAAAATTCCCATTTTGACAGATTTTTCATTATTTGGGGGAAAATAGGAAAATATAATATGATCTGATATTTTTAAATTCAAAGCAATGACTGTAGAGGAACGGTTTAGTTCATGTATAAAACAACTAAAAAGTTATCAAATGAGATAAATTAACTGAAGGCCTCCTTTAAAATTCGTATTCATTTCAAAATCGTAGCATGAGATAGAAAATATTTTTTGGTTCAAATCAAATTTTGGAATAAACATCAATGTGCTCCTGCAAGGTAAAAAAGGAAAGGGAAAACATAACATCTTTCATTTGGGATGAGAAAAGAATGTCCTTTGCAAGGTCTAAGTTGAAGACACCTAAAATAAAAAAGATCAATCTTAATGATTAGGATGAAATTAACTACTCTTATCTTCCCCTAATTTTAAAAAGATTGTTGTGGGAAATACAATATGAAAACTGCTCTTTAAATGACCATGCACTCTTATTATCCATGTGTCTACTTAAAATCAAAAGAAGTATAGTTTCTCTCATTACAGCTCCAACATTTAAGATACCCTCGCTTCTTTTGGCCGTACTTTTACTTCTGTTTACTCTCAATTTAAAATAGACTTCTAAGATTTTCCTCTCCAATTACTACATGTCTTCTCCGTTTCTTTCCTTGTTCACCTTTGATTTTTTTTTAAGAAGAGCAAGGAGGCATTGCAATACTTAAAAACTGTTTAATAGAGTGTATATAGGCATGTTCTCTGGTTCGACTTTTTAGCTTACCTTCACACGTAGTCCCAGTCCAGCCATCAGCACAGACACAAGTAAAGGTGTTGTCTCCATCAGTGCAAACTCCTTCATTCTTACAAGGAACGGCAAAACATTCGTCGGTATCTGTGCCAAATGAGTTCCAAAGATAAAGAATGCAATAAAAGTGAAAAGAAAATAATTCCTATTACTAGATGTTCTCCATTTCTTTCCATGTTCACCCTTGATCTCTTTTTTTAAGAGCAAGGAGTCATTGCAATACTAAAAAAACTGTTTAATAGAGTGTGTATAGGCATGTTATCGGATTCGACTTTTTGGCTTACCCTCACACGTAGTCCCAGTCCAGCCATCAGCACAGACACAAGTAAAGGTGTTGTCTCCATCAGTGCAAACTCCTTCATTCTTACAAGGAACGTCAAAACATTCGTCGGTATCTGTGCCAAATGAGTTCCAAAGATAAAGAATGTGATAAAAGTGAAAAGAAAAAAATTCCCATTTTGACAGATTTTTCATTATTTGGGGGAAAATAGGAAAATATAATATGATCTGATATTTTTAAATTCAAAGCAATGACTGTAGAGGAACGGTTTAGTTCATGTATAAAACAACTAAAAAGTTATCAAATGAGATAAATAACTGAAGGCCTCCTTTAAAATTCGTATTCATTTAAAATCGTAGCATGAGATAGAAAATATTTTTTGGTTCAAATCAAATTTTGGAATAAACATCAATGTGCTCCTGCAAGGTAAAAAAGGAAAGGAAAAATAACATCTTTCATTTGGGATGAGAAAAGAATGTCCTTTGCAAGGTCTAAGTTTGAAGACACCTAAAATAAAAAAGATCAATCTTGATGATTAGGATGAAATTAACTACTCTTATCTTCCCCTAATTTTAAAAAGATTGTTGTGGGAAATACAATATGAAAACTGCTCTTTAAATGACCATGCACTCTTATTATCCATGTTTCCACTTAAAATCAAAAGAAGTATAGTTTCTCTCATTACAGCTCCAACATTTAAGACACCCTCGCTTCTTTGGCCGTACTTTTACTTCTGTTTACTCTCAATTTAAAATAGACTTCTAAGATTTTCCTCTCCAATTACTACATGTCTTCTCCGTTTCTTTCCTTGTTCACCTTTGATTTTTTTTTAAGAAGAGCAAGGAAGCATTGCAATACTAAAAAACTGTTAATAGAGTGTATATAGGCATGTTCTCTGATTCGACTTTTTAGCTTACCTTCACACGTTGTCCCAGTCCAGCCATCAGCACAAGACACAAGTAAAGGTGTTTGGTCCATCAGTGCAAACTCCTTCATTCTTACAAGGAACGTCAAAACATTCGTCGGTATCTGTGCCAAATGAGTTCCAAAGATAAAGAATGTGATAAAAGTGAAAAGAAAAATAATTCCCATTTTGACAGATTTTTCATTATTTGGGGGAAAATAGGAAAATATAATATGATCTGATATTTTTAAATTCAAAGCAATGACTGTAGAGGAACGGTTTAGTTCATGTATAAAACAACTAAAAAGTTATCAAATGAGATAAATTAACTGAAGGCCTCCTTTAAATTCGTATTCATTTCAAAATCGTAGCATGAGATAGAAAATATTTTTTGTTCAAATCAAATTTTGGAATAAACATCAATGTGCTCCTGCAAGGTAAAAAAGGAAAGGAAAACATAACATCTTTCATTTGGGATGAGAAAAGAATGTCCTTTGCAAGGTCTAAGTTTGAAGACACCTAAAATAAAAAGATCAATCTTAATGATTAGGATGAAATTAACTACTCTTATCTTCCCCTAATTTTAAAAAGATTGTTGTGGGAATACAATATGAAAACTGCTCTTTAAATGACCATGCACTCTTATTATCCATGTGTCTACTTAAAATCAAAAGAAGTATAGTTTCTCTCATTACAGCTCCAACATTTAAGATACCCTCGCTTCTTTTGGCCGTACTTTTACTTCTGTTTACTCTCAATTTAAAATAGACTTCTAAGATTTTCCTCTCCAATTACTACATGTCTTCTCCGTTTCTTTCCTGTTCACCTTTGATTTTTTTTTAAGAAGAGCAAGGAGGCATTGCAATACTTAAAAACTGTTTAATAGAGTGTATATAGGCATGTTCTCTGGTTCGACTTTTTAGCTTACCTTCACACACGTAGTCCCAGTCCAGCCATCAGCACAGACACAAGTAAAGGTGTTGTCTCCATCAGTGCAAACTCCTTCATTCTTACAAGGAACGGCAAAACATTCGTCGGTATCTGTGCCAAATGAGTTCCAAAGATAAAGAATGCAATAAAAGTGAAAAGAAAATAATTCCTATTACTAGATGTTTTCTCCATTTCTTTCCATGTTCACCCTTGATCTCTTTTTAAGAGCAAGGAGTCATTGCAATACTAAAAAACTGTTAATAGAGTGTGTATAGGCATGTTATCGGATTCGACTTTTTGGCTTACCCTCACACGTAGTCCCAGTCCAGCCATCAGCACAGACACAAGTAAAGGTGTTGTCTCCATCAGTGCAAACTCCTTCATTCTTACAAGGAACGTCAAAACATTCGTCGGTATCTGTGCCAAATGAGTTCCAAAGATAAAGAATGTGATAAAAGTAAAAAAAAAAAATTCCCATTTTGACAGATTTTTCATTATTTGGGGGAAAAATAGGAAAATATAATATGATCTGATATTTTAAATTCAAAGCAATGACTGTAGAGGAACGGTTTAGTTCATGTATAAAACAACTAAAAAGTTATCAAATGAGATAAATTAACTCAAGGCCTCCTTTAAAATTCGTATTCATTTCAAAATCGTAGCATGAGATAGAAAAATTTTTTGGTTCAAATCAAATTTTGGAATAAACATCAATGTGCTCCTGCAAGGTAAAAAAGGAAAGGAAAACATAACATCTTTCATTTGGGATGAGAAAAGAATGTCCTTTGCAAGGTCTAAGTTTGAAGACACCTAAAATAAAAAAGATCAATCTTAATGATTAGGATGAAATTAACTACTCTTATCTTCCCCTAATTTTAAAAAGATTGTTGTGGGAAATACAATATGAAAACTGCTCTTTAAATGACCATGCACTCTTATTATCCATGTGTCTACTTAAAATCAAAAGAAGTATAGTTTCTCTCATTACAGCTCCAACATTTAAGACACCCTCGCTTCTTTTGGCCGTACTTTTACTTCTGTTTACTCTCAATTTAAAATAGACTTCTAAGATTTTCCTCTCCAATTACTACATGTCTCTCCGTTTCTTTCCTTGTTCACCTTTGATTTTTTTTTAAGAAGAGCAAGGAGGCATTGCAATACTTAAAAACTGTTTATAGAGTGTATATAGGCATGTTCTCTGGTTCGACTTTTAGCTTACCTTCACACGTAGTCCCAGTCCAGCCATCAGCACAGACACAAGTAAAGGTGTGTCTCCATCAGTGCAAACTCCTTCATTCTTACAAGGAACGGCAAAACATTCGTCGGTATCTGTGCCAAATGAGTTCCAAAGATAAAGAATGCAATAAAAGTGAAAAGAAAATAATTCCTATTACTAGATGTTTTCTCCATTTCTTTCCATGTTCACCTTGATCTCTTTTTTTAAGAGCAAGGAGTCATTGCAATACTAAAAAACTGTTTAATAGAGTGTGTATAGGCATGTTATCGGATTCGACTTTTTGGCTTACCCTCACACGTAGTCCCAGTCCAGCCATCAGCACAGACACAAGTAAAGGTGTTGTCTCCATCAGTGCAAACTCCTTCATTCTTACAAGGAACGTCAAAACATTCGTCGGTATCTGTGCCAAATGAGTTCCAAAGATAAAGAATGTGATAAAAGTGAAAAGAAAAAAATTCCCATTTTGACAGATTTTTCATTATTTGGGGGAAAATAGGAAAATATAATATGATCTGATATTTTTAAATTCAAAGCAATGACTGTAGAGGAACGGTTTAGTTCATGTATAAAACAACTAAAAAGTTATCAAATGAGATAAATTAACTGAAGGCCCTCCTTTAAAATTCGTATTCATTTAAAATCGTTAGCATGAGATAGAAAATATTTTTTGGTTCAAATCAAATTTTGGAATAAACATCAATGTGCTCCTGCAAGGTAAAAAAGGAAAGGAAAACATAACATCTTTATTTGGGATGAGAAAAGAATGTCCTTTGCAAGGTCTAAGTTTGAAGACACCTAAAATAAAAAAGATCAATCTTGATGATTAGGATGAAATAACTACTCTTACTTCCCCTAATTTTAAAAAGATTGTTGTGGGAAATACAATATGAAAACTGCTCTTAAATGACCATGCACTCTTATTATCCATGTGTCCACTTAAAATCAAAAGAAGTATAGTCTCTCATTACAGCTCCAACATTTAAGACACCCTCGCTTCTTGTGGCCGTACTTTTACTTCTGTTACTCTCAATTTAAAATAGACTTCTAATATTTTCCTCTCCAATTACTACATGTCTTCTCCGTTTCTTTCCTTGTTCACCTTGATTTTTTTTAAGAAGAGCAAGGAGGCATTGCAATACTAAAAAACTGTTTAATAGAGTGATATAGGCATGTTCTCTGATTCGACTTTTTAGCTTACCTTCACACGTAGT